AACATTGAAAACTCAGCAAACACAGGAAGGATTAGGTGGGCTAGTGGTCTGAGCTTGCAGAGGGCAGCATCCTGACCTTACCTATGATCATCTTTCTCTTTTGCTGTTAGAAGTTCCCATCTGTTTTTACAGAGGGAGAAGAGCCCAAAGTAGAGCCTCTGATTGGCTGCATTTGTTTCAGTTTCTCATCGAGCTCTGATTTCTGGGAAGGGAAGGGAGCATAAGGCATTTAGCTAAAACAGAAATGTTAGAAAGGAGAAGTGGAGGCAGAGAAGAAGAGAGAGGGACCAAGGTAGGAGAAGAGAGTCTTTTAATTGTCTGGGGTTCTTTGTAATGTCCTGGATGTGGAGGGCAGTGGAGCTTGGGGAGGGGCAGAACGTGTGAACACTGAGCTGGAAGACCGCTGACAAAGAGCACATTCTGCTTAAGAAGCTGCACACAGTCAGACCTTTTGATTTCTGTTCCTTGTGGGGTCTACTGAAGTGACCTCTGGGGAGGCATTTCTCTGAGTGGCAGCTTCCACTCACTCCAGCTCCTCAGGTGACAGGACCTGTAGAACCCCACTCCCTTTAGTGCCGTGTGAGGCCCCTTCTGTCCTCAGAGTCCGTTCTTCTCCTGCGTTGAGGCCTGGAGTGGTATCATCTGCTTCTGCTGCTCCTGCTGTAGTTGTCCCTGCTTTCCTCTGCCCCTGGAGGAAGGAAAGCAGACAACTGGGTTTGCAGCCTCCTGTCCAGGTCTGAGATGGTGCAGGCTCTCCCCTCAGTCTGGGACTAGCTATCTGCTATCTGCCCCAAATGGCAACCACTCCTTCCTGGAGCTGAGAGCCCCGAGAAGGATTTGGTAGCATCTGCCACTCGGGGACAAAGGGACGAAATGCTGATCTGGAAGAAGAGCCCTGGGTTTGCGCCTCAGTGCCACCCCAGCCTGGGTGGGGTGCCTGGAGAAAGTCATGATCCTCTCTGGGGGTGTGCCCACCTGTTCTTCAGGTCCTGCACTGTATCCGGCAGTGGCTGGCCCAAGGTCTCTGGCAGGAGAGTAACGACAGCACTGGCGGCCACAGGGACAGCGCCGAAGATGAAGAGAGGCATGGAGGGGTAGAACTCGGCGGTCATGCTCACCAGCGGGCTCACGATGCTACCCACCCGGGCCATGGTGCTGCCCATGCCCAGGCCTGTCTGCCTGTGGTCAGGTGAGTGTTGGTTAGAGCTCTGGTGTGGATACCAGGGGCCGCATTTAGAGCAGGCAGTTCTGCCAGCCCTGGACATCTTTGTGCCTCCTCTTTCCTGCTTGATTAGCAAATGATTTCACATTTTTGTGTTTTGCTATTGGTTGTGCTGGATATCAAAGCCAGGACCTTGCACAGGCCAGGCAGACACTTCACTACTGACCTGCATGCCTAGGCCATTGTGGTGACTTTTGCAACAAAAAAAAAGAAATTGAGAAGGGCTGTTGTTGGGGGGGGGTGTTGTGAAACTGAGTTCTGCCTGTCCTTAAGCTACTGTGTGGCCTTCAGCCAATCTCTTTACATCTCTGGGTTTCCAGCTGTCACATGAGTTCACTGGGTAAGACCAGTGATTCTTAGGTTACCATCATCTGGAATGTGTTTGTTTTCCTCTTCTCTCTCTGGTTGTGCTAGGAATAGAACTCAGCATCTCACACCTACAAGGCAGCTGCCCTGCCCCTGAGCTACATCCCAGCACACCTGCATACCTTATGAATTCTAGTTGTCTCCATCTCACAGAGACCTATTAGTCAGGGTCCCCAGGGGAAGGGATCTGGAGGCTGCTCATTGCTTGTGTGTTAAGAACATCCATTCTCCACGAGAGGCTGTAGAGATGGCTCAGCAGCTAAGGGCACTGACTGCTCTTGTAAGGACCTGGGTTCAGTTCTCAGCACCCACATGGCAGCTCATAACCATCTATCTGTAACTCCAGTTGCCTGGGATCTGATGTCCTCTTCTGGGCTCTGTGAACACTAGGCATGTACATGGTATATATACATACATGTGAGCAAAACATTCATACATGAAATAAAAATAAATAAGTCCAGCTAACCAAGAACATTCTCTATGGGGGAAGTTAAAAACATTAACTCAGGAGGCCAGTGCATTGGGGATCAGTGCAGGCTTCCTTGCTAGCTGTGTGACCCTGCAGAAGCCTTCTGTTTTCACACTTGTAAAAGGAGAATGATAGTGCCTGCCTTGGTCTGTTATGAGAAATAAGTGAATTAATATTTGTGGAAAGGTTAAGAAAGTGCTTGACACACAGTATATGCTTGACTTGAGTGCTCGGTACACCATACACATTTTGCCTGGAAACCTGTAAAGGCATCCGGTAGTATCTAAGATGTCTCAAGGTTGTCATCACAGCACCATGACTTCTCAGGTCTTTGACATTTCATGTGATGTTTGCATTCAGATTTTAAGTAGACATATTATTTTATTTCTCAATGCCTTTCCCATCTCGCTATAAAGTGATGCTGAGTTTATCCATATGACTGGCATATTGCCAGGTGTGGTTCTTGTAGGAAGTTGCCTGCATGCTTGCATCTTTGGTTTAAGATGGAGTTTAGATATGGTCACAGCTTGGAACTTGTGTTCTGGCTTTAGTGTGAGCAGGGGACTGTCTTTCCCTAGACCGCCCCCGCTCCCATGCCCTGGGCTCCCACTCACCGGATCACTGTGGGGTACAGCTCTCCAGTGTACAGGAAGATACAGTTGAAAGAGGAAGCCAGGCAGCCTTTCCCTAGCACAGCCAGGGAGGTGCGTATGATTGTCTGGTCTAGAGAGAAAGGAATGGGGAGAGTGGGAACATAGGATTGAGGGTGTGGGTACTGGCTTCTGAGAAGCTGGGTTATGTCTGAAGGGGCAGGGTGGGTGGGACTGAGAGCCAAGATACTGGTAGGTGCTCACCCTTTGGTATTACCCCATTCACCAGGATGCAGATGCCTGCCAGCAGCAGGGAGGCCAGTTGTGCCGGCCGGCGGCCCAGGGAGTTGATGACGAGGAAGCATACGAACTTGGCCGGTAAGTCCACAGCACCGAAGATCACCTGGATAAGGTACATGCTGACCCCAAAGCCTTGCAGGTCCATGACCAGCCCGTAGTAGGCAAAGCTAGTGGCAAACCTGGTAAGGAGGGAAGGGGGCGTGGGCTGGTTAGACTGGCTTAAACAAGTGCATTCTTTCATAAATACAGTGATGCATGGACGGTGTCCTGCTTTGGGACCTAGGATCTGCTTTGGCTATTGCTTCTTCAGACACTTAACAACTCCATACTCAAACTGCACAGGTCAAGTAGTGGGGCAGCCCTCCAGTCCTGTGCTAATTGGACACCCCAGGGAACTGGAGAACTTACACTTAGTTACTAAGTAGCGTTTATACACTTTCAGTCTTTATCTTATCTGCTGGGCTGAGGTTACTACATAAGTCACATCAAGGTGTTGGTAATGGCTGGAATTGTCTGAGACTTATCTGTATCTCTCGGATGAATGTTTAGGGGTTCACAAAGTGTAGGTTTGGGGATAGAACCCTCTACAGAGAATAAACCCCAAACTGTCAGCAAAAAATTCCTTTGGCAAGATTGCTCTTCTGATCACACCCCACTTAACTGTCATGGGATTGCCATGGTGATGCATATGAGAGAGATAATGGGAACACTGCAGGGAAAGGAAGATTTGGGGCTATATCATCTTTGGCCCAAGTGTGTTTTTGGGATAAGTATGGGTCCTCTTATGTCCTAGGCACCACCAGAACAGTCACTGTGGTCTGCCCTCACAGCATAAATGTGTGGGCTCTGGAGACCGTGGGTCCTGATGAGGTGGTTTATACAGGGACAGGGCTGGCGAGAGAAGCCAGGAGACGAGTCTGAGCCCGGGACTGGTTGTGCCGGGTCTCTTGTCTTTTCAGTGCTCCCACTGCTCCTCGTAGCAGATCTGGTGACCTTCCCTTCCCTTCCCCCACCTGCTGTTCCCACCCGTGGCATCCAGGCCCTCCCCCAGTCTGGTTTTTGTCCTTTGATCAGCTTGCTTGTTTGTCTGAGCCTACCACAGCATGGAGAGGCAGAGGAAGAGGCGGCGAAGGGCGGGGCAGCGCAGCAGCTCCATGGCCTTTGCCTGGCCTTTGCCTAGCATCAGTTCCTTCTGTAGGCTGGTCCGGAGCACCTGATGGGATGGGCATGACTCAGGGCCTGAGCTCCTCCTAGGGGACACCCTTGGTCCAGCCTGAGTCATGGGTCTTGGTCCTGTATCTGGGTTGGAGCTCAGGCAACATCTAGAGACAAAGGGCTCTTACCTCTATACTCAGCTTAGCGCCCTCTTCATGCTTCCCATTGATCCTGGCCACTCTCTGCAGGGCTTGGAGGGTGAGGTCCAGCCTTCCTGAGGAGGAGTACCAGCGGGCTGACTCAATGAAGAACCTGGGAGTGGAGATGGAGAGAGGGTAGATGTTGGCACGGTCTCAGTTTCAGTCTTCTGGGTTAGTTTTGGGAACCAGGGCCTTTGCTAAGACCCCTTAATGATCTCCAAGCAGTGGCCAGTTTGATAATCACTCATTCCCAACCCAGAACTTAGCTCTTGGGTGCAGGGTCGGGAAGAACAGTGTCAATAGGAGTGTCACAGTCAAACTGTGGGGTGCCAAAGACCTGTCACCCTCCTCCAGTACAAAATCTACCCCTACAGCCTTGGCTTCAGAATCTGTTCAACAGAGGCATTGGATTGGGGTCAGCTTTCTGTCCTGGGTGATTTTTCTGGGGAAGTATGTGCCCACCTCTGGGAGATGGCCTGTCCCTTGTAGCCATGCAAGGTTCTGGGTCATTGCTTCCCACCCCAGATCCCACGTACCAGGAGTAGATGAAGGCGACGAAAAAAGGCACAGAGACCAGAAGCTGCAGGTGGCGCCAGTGGGGCACAGCGTAGGCCACACCAGCCAGGATGAACTGGCCCACACTGTAGATGTAGCCAATCAAGGTGCCCACATAGGCGCGGGTGTGGATGGGCATCCATTCCACATCTGGAAAGGGTTAGAGTGGTGCAAGTAACTGGGCTGCTAGGCAGAAAGAGACTCCTCTCTTGCCCCCTCCTGATCGTGTTCTTTCCCAAAGCTCTGTAGAAGATGTTTCAGTGAGGCTGGGTGCCAGGGTAGGGAGAGTGGAGACATTAAAGGAAGCAGGGTCCCCAGGGACTGCCTTCTCCATGCTCCTGCTGCTTCTTGTCTCTGCCCCCAGGGTCTGCCTCCATCCCCTTTCCTGCAGAGCTACTCTGATCACTCAGCCTGTTCTCAGCAGAAACCACTTCCCTTCTCAGTCTTGGGCTGGATTCGTCCTCAGTGGTCAGAGCACTGTTTATCCAGCCTGGAACACCAGTCCAGGCAGGAAGGGACCACTGCTCTATTAAGGTCTCCAGAGGCAGGCCTAGGCTCCTTGTGGGATACACTTGAATATGCATATTGATATTGGAGCTGGAGCCTTAGGCTTGCTCAGCTCAATCTCAGACCTAACTAGTTCCTTTTGTCTTAGAGAACTGTGAATCCCTGGATTTCTTTCTGGACTTGAGAGACAACTTCAGGTAAATTTCTTTTCTTCTCCCCAGCCTCAGATTCATCTGGGAGATTGTGTGTGTGTGTGTGTGTGTGTGTGTGTGTGTGTGTGAGAGAGAGAGAGAGAGAGAGAGAGAGAGAGAGAGAGAGAGAGAGAGAGAGAGAGAGGTCTACTCTACTAGAGAAAGCACACTGATGGTCCATGAACACACTATTCTCCGTCACTAAGTGTGTTTGGTGCATATGATGCTAGTTTATCCTTGTTTAGAGATATTAGATTAGCCACAGTATTAACATAATTATGATATTTTATATTAATTTTTAAAAAGTGAGTGAGATCTGGGTGTGGTGGTGTATGCCTGTAATTCTAGCACTTGGGAGGGGAAAGCTGAGTGTCATGAATTGGAGGCTACGTGCTAAGACCCTGGATCAGAACAAAACAAATAAACAATACCAACAAAAATGGAGTAAGTTCTGACTTCTTGGCTGGGAGTGCCTTTGGTATCTCTATATAGGATGTTTCCTTTAAAACAATTACATTTATTCTTTCTCTCTTTCCCTCCCTCCCTCCCTCCTTCTTTCCCTCCTCTCCTTCCTCTCTGTGTTTATGCCATGGTAGGTGTGTAGAAGTCAGAGGACAACTAACTTGCAACAGTTGGTCCTGGGGATCAACTCAGGTCATCAGACTTGGTGGCAAGTGTCGTTATCCACTGAGACATCTTGCCACCCCAGCCTTTTTTGCTATTTAGCACAGACTGGCCTGGAACTCATTGTATAGATCCATCTGACTTCATCCTTGGGACAGTCCTCCCACCTCTGGCTCCTGAGCGCTGGGGCTGTGGGTACCTGCCACCATGCTTGGCCTGTCTCACTAGCCTTCGGCTCTCCTTTGGATACAGTCTTCACCACTCCTAAGATCTCCTGTATCTGTCTTGTCTCGGTCACTCTGACCGTGAGTCTGCAATCTTATTATGGTGGGAGCTGGAGAAGGCAGGGTGGTGTTGATTGGAAATGCAGATCTAAGGGAGGTATTGGTTGAGAGCAGGGGGCTCAGGAGGGGAGAGCTGAGGGAGGAGGCTGACTGGACTGAGTGGTGAGAAGGGACATAGGTAAGTAGTCCTCACTTAGTGTCATGCAGTTGATTGCAATGCTAGCCAAAGACATGCCCGAGAGGAGCCGGAAAATACAGTAGACGGTATAGTTGGGTGCATAGGCTGCACAGGTTCCTGACACAGCTGTCTGTAGGTAGTTCAAGATCAGCACCTTCCGACGGCCCAACCTGTGGGGGAGGGAAGACTTGTGGTCAGGGGCCTGAGGAGTGCTGGGGAGGGTGCCGTGGGCTGAGTTATACAGAAGAGTTGCTGCCTAGGGCGAGGCCCAGGGCTTTGGCCTTCTGAGGATCTAGGAGGAATCTCGAGTCTTTGACTTAAGCCAGCCACCCCTGCCTTGAATCCAGCCAGGGGCCCCGATCCCAGTTTAGCCCAGCTCTTTGGCTTACCCAGGACTGACCTGTCTGCCAGGTAGCCAAACACCATGGCTCCCAGCAGCACTCCCACCATGTACAGGGACTGGGCCAGCTGGCGGAAGGCCCGGTGAGAGCACACGAGGTTCCACTGTGGGGAGAGGTAAGCCAGGGTTGGGCAGAGAAGAGCCCAGATGCAAGGAAGTCGCTCAGCCTCCTCAAGGAAGGTCCTCTGGGGCCCATGCCGCACTCTTCAGTCACACTGTCCTCTGCTGTTTGTCTCACTGTTCCTGGGCTCTAAGCACACTTACGACACTCGGCAGCTTCCACACCCACCTTCTACAAATACCGTCCTCTTGGACGCTTTATCTCATCTTCTGAGCTTGGCCCCCAGGGAACTTGACTCTGTGTGTGTGTGTGCGTGTGTGTGTGTGTGTGTGTGTGTGTGTGTGTGTGCATGTCTCTGTCTGAGAGGTGAAGTGGTGTCACATGGAGAGGGAGCCCCAAATCCTTACCTCAGTTACGATGGTTGAAGGGAAGGTGCTGTTGTCATAGACCCAGCCATCAATGCAGGGCTCTGTGACTCCAGTGCCATTGGCCTCTGTGCCGTTGTGAAATGGTGGTACCCACTGTGGAGAAGTAAAACGGAGGCAAGCCTTGGGCCGTCCCTGCTTGTCCAGGGGCAGCCAGGCCTCCAGACCTCCATCTTTGCTGAGGTTGGCATTGGCAGGTGGGCGGCAGTGGTGAGCAGGGATGGCAGCGGTGAAGTTCTGCAAGGTGTTGTGGGAAGCCATCAGCAGTAGGGGGGCAACCACCAAGGTGACCTGGATCAGCTGGAAGCGTCCGACGCCCCCCACCTGCTTCAGGAGGTCATTGAAGGCCATGGGGTTGGGCCGGGCTGAGTGGTCAGGGACTGAAGACCTCCAGTTGTAGGACTCCTGTCTGTCTGCCTGCTGCCCTTTGCCTGAGGAGTGGGGTTGTTGCTGCCTTTGCAGCTGAGTGACTCCCGGAGCTGGAACTGAGCCGGCTCTGTGGCGGGACAGCAGGCTGGTGGACCGCCCCTCCCTTCTCTCTCCCCTGGTTCTGGCCCTCCCTTGCCCTCTCCTCTTTTCTTCACTTCGGGGGTCTGGCAGCTCAGCTTTCAGGGTCTGCTGGAGCCCTGACTCTTATGCAGGCAGCTTTTAATCTTTGGCCTGAAGATAATGAGTTAAAGAGTGACTTGGTTGGTGTCAGGAGGATTAACTCTGTGAGTATCCCTTATGTCAGTGGAATTTTTCCAAGAGGGTATAAAGGGCAGGAGGGGATGGTTCAGACGGAGAGAGGATTCACTGGGGGCTGCAGAAGGGGACAAGGTGGGGCCTCCTGTCTTCCCTCTGTTGAGGAGTCTGAGCTCTGGGAAATATGGTTTCTGTGGACACCACAGTCTGTTTCCGGGAATAACAACAGAGACAACATGGCAAGTCTGGTTGAACCTGAACTTCAGTATAGCCTTAATATTGTACATACCATGTTTATATTCAGAATTATGTGTTGATTTGAAATTCAGATCTGACTGGGAATCTTATATTCTTATTTGCTAAGTTGAGTAACCCTGGTCTTTGGTCTTTCAAGAGCTCACCTCTTGCTGGGCTACAGCTTTGTTCAACTGGAAGAAACAACAGTAGTCATAGGTTGCTTTTGAATCCATGGGGATCAAAGGCAAAACCAGATATAATGGGGGACCACTCTTCTGGGGATCTCAGTTTTCACCTTCTTGGTTCTTCTTCTTCTTCTTCTCCTTCTTCTTTTCTTTTTAAAGACAGGGTCTCATGTATCTCAGGGTGGCTTCCAGATCAATGTGCAGCCAAGGCTGGTCTTGAATGACTCCTCCTGGTTCCATCTCCTAAGTGCTGGGATTTCAAATGCATAGCACCACACTTAGTTTTTTTCTGAGACAGGGTTTCTCTGTGTAGCCTTAGCTGTCTTGGAATATGCTCTGTAGACCAGTCTGGCCTCAAACTTAGAGATCAACTTGCCTCTGCCTCCTAAGTGCTAGGATTAAAGGTGTATGTCACCACTGCCCTCCTACAATAAAAATTCTATCTATCTGTGTCTGTCTGTCTGTCTATCTATTATTTGTGTGTCTGCATGCGTGCCTGTGGCACAGCTTGTGCATGGAGATCTAAGGACAACTTGTAGAAGTGGCCCCTGTTTCCTTCTTTGTCTTGATTCAAATTTTCACTTTGCATGTATATATGTGTACCATATTCATGCCTGGTACACACAGAGAGTGTCAGATTCCTTGGAACTGCCATTACAGATGATTGTGAGCCACTATGTAGGTGCTGGGAATTTAACCAGGGTCCTGTGCAAGAGCAGACCACGCTCTTAACCACTGAGCCACCTCTTTATCCCCCCTCTTCTGTTTTTTTTAAATAATAAGATTGAACCTAAATTATTTTTAGCTACAAGTCTAGGACCTGACTTGAATTCCTCCAATAGTTTTTGGCTCCTGAGCCTTGGCTACTCACAATCAGAGGCAGTGTTGTACACTAACTGAATATTTCTGTCATCTGATTGGTTGGATCACAGACTGGGGAGGCTGAGGACAGGTTGCTACTCTATGGCTTTGATTTACGAGGTGCATCTGGTGTAAAGCATTGAACCCCGGAGTCAGTCCTCTTGCTGTATTCTCAGGCTGTGTGACCAGGAGCAGGTTATTAACTCCTGTGTACCTCAGTGCCTTTGCTTTCAAGACAGGGCTGGTTTTCATGTCCCTGTATTTTGTTTCCAGAGGGTTAAATAAGCCAACACAGGTAACGAGTTTAAAGAAGCCTTTATCCAAGTATGGTTTGTGCCTGTAGCCCCAGTTCCTGGGGAGCCTGAGGCAGGGGGATCGAGTTCAGGAGTTCAAAATCAGCTTGGGTAGGAGGACAGTAGCTGAAACTTAGTCTTGGCTACATAGTGAGTTTGATGGCACCCTGAACTACATGAACTTTTATTGTTTGTTTGTTTGTTTGTTTGTTTTTGTTTTTCGTTTTTTTCTCAAGACAGGGCTTCTCTTGTAGTTCTGGCTGTCCTGGCCTCGAACTCCCAGACATCATTCTGCTTCTGCCTTCTGAATGCTGGGATTAAAGGCGTGCTCCACCAAACGCTTGTCTCTGAGACTGTTTTAAAGAACTTCTCACCAGATATGCCTATGCAGGCTGCACTTTTCTGCATTACATTGAGAGGGATTTATTGTCTACTTAGGTCCTCAGGAACATGAGGTATTAGACTAGGGCCTTAACTTCAAAGCTCCCACCTCCTCCTCCAACAGGGTCTCATTATATGTGCCAGGTTGGTTTCAAACTCACGGTTCTCTGATCTCAGTCTCTCAAGTGCCTGGAGTCATTGTGTGTGGCTAAAGGCTGAACGCTTAACTATGGCTCTAGAGGTGTTCACTGCCACACTAAAGGGGTTTTAGATGAGCTAACTTTGTACGCAGAGAAGAAGCCCAGAGGAGGTTGTAATTCATCCCAGCCTCCCCCACCCAGCATGTGTTGATTCTAGCTTGGGCTCAATGGGTGTCCAGATGCCTGATACATTCTCCAGGCCAAGGTATATAAGAACCTGTGGCCTGGGGAGGCTAGGACAGCTGGACAAACAGCTTAGAGGTTGTGGGGTCAATTTCCTGCCAAGACTTAGTGCTCTTGTAGGGAAGTAGGTGGAGTGCTGAGGGTAGTGGGGTGACCTCCTGCAAGCACCCTCCCTTTCCACGCTTGCGCCGAATCCTGCTCTGGATAAGAACTTCTGAGCTCCTGTCTTAGTCGGGGTCACTATTGCTGTGATAGACACCATGACCGAAGCAACTTAGGGAGGACAGGACTGATTAGCCTACACTTCCATGTCATAGCCCGCCACTGAAGGAGTCAGGCCAGAGACTCAAGCAGGGCAGGAACCTGGAGGCGGGGGTAATGCAGAGGCCATGGAGGGGTGATGCCTGCTGGCTTGCACCTCATGGCTTGCTCAGTCTGCTTTCTTATGGCACCCAGAACCACTAGTCCAGAGGTGGCACTACCTACCCACAGTGGTCTGGGTCCTCACCCATCAATCAGTAACCAAGAAACTATAGGCTTGTCTCTGACTCCATCTTATGGAGGCATTTTCTTAATAGAGCTTCCCTCTTCTCTGATGAGCAAAGCTTGTGCCAAGTTGACATAAACTAGCCAGCAGAGCTCCTGACCAGTCCCAAGTCTGGCTGAATCTATACAAGTCTCCACTGAGGACTCCAGGAACTGAACTGTGGCAAGATCCCAGGATTTTCAGATCTGGGGACTGTCCCTTGTTGACCTTGTGGGCCACTAAAAATTTAAGATGGGATGCCTCTGTGCTAAATGGATCATTGACTTAAATTCTGGTAGTGCTCAGGGGGAAGGTGTCAGCTTTGGGAATCTTGTAGAAACTTACTTCTGTTCTTAGAACCACATACCACTAGAGCTGAGAGCCATCACTGGACTGAGGAGTAAGGAGACCGAGGCCAGATAGGAACCGGTGTTGCCCATGATCATACTGCAAGCCTCGAACACGGCTCTTTTGGCTCCTTTGTTCTCTCTTCTGTGTGAGTTGCTGTTATATAGGTTAGATTTTCTGGGATAAGTGCTGACTTGGTGTAACTATAGTCTATTAAGTCAATGGGATTCAAAGTGTGGGGCTACATGTGATTTTTATTACTTTGTGACACCTTTCAAATAAATAATTTACAGATCAAAGAAGACACTTTGGCTCAGATCATGTTCTGGAAGCATGGGGTTGAAGTGACCCGGAGAGTTCAGAAGACTCCAGCTGCCTGCCAGCATCTAAGCCGGAAATTTCAGAACCAAAGTGAACCTTGTGCCTTGTTCCTGGCTACACCAACCAGCAGGCAGTACAAGCCTAGCTGAAACCACTGTTTAAAAGCCAGATGTGAGCTGGGGATATTGCTCATTGATAAAGTACCTGCCTAGCATGCAGGAGGCTCCGAATTTGATTCCTAGAAGTACATAACATGGGGCATTGTGACACACAACCCCAGCACTAAGGAGGTGGAAGCTAGGGATCGGAAGTTCAAGGTCATCCTCAGCTGGATACTCAGCCATCAGAGGTCAAACTGGGCTACATGAGACCCTGTCTCAATAAAACAGCAAAACCTCACAAACTAGATACAAGATCGTTTACCCATGAGGTGATCCAGAGAGTGCTCCACATTTGGTGGCAATTCACTGAGCTAGTTGTTGTCCCTGACAGACAGAAGGGAATAGAGGAAGCAGGGAGGGCTGAGGAACAGCAGAAACGGAGAGAAGGAGAAATGGGGTTTGGTGTTTCACTGTGAACCTTAACCTAAGTACAGAAAGAACTTTTCAGACATCTTTCTTTCCCTCACTACATGTCTGCAAGAAAAACACCCTGAACAGTGCAGAAATGGTCATGGTTAGGACATCCCAGGAGCCATACTGGGTTCTGAGTCACTGATAGATGGGAAAAGGTGGAGGTCTGTGATTCACAGAGCCCAGTTCTCTGTCTGGTGGAGACCCAGTTCAACCAAGGCGGGCATTGCTGGCCCGATTGTTGGCTTATTAGGCACCAGTCAGTAGACATCAAGTTCTAAGGGGAAGCCTGATAGCCTCACTGTAAAAGTCAGGTCTCCATGGTCAATGTAGCAGCCCCAAATTGTCTAAAGGTTGCAAAGGAGACTCCTGCATCCAAACTAAGTATAAATGTCAGCTTCCCATGAGGCTGATGACATGGGGCCTTGGGAGGGTAACAGAGGGTCTCTCTGCCCTTTTGCTCTCCTCCCAACCTTTGTTGCGTTCTCAGACTTACTCCCTCACTGCCTTTTTTCTTGACTGTCCCATCCAATAAACCACTTTATGCCAAATCTTTGCCTTGGGGTCTGCTTCTGGGGAAATCTACACCAAGATGCAACTGAGACCACAATTCATTGTACAATCAGCAGGGAGGTCATCAAACCCAGGCTCTAGAGCCTCAGAAGTCCTTTGGGAGGAAGTTGCACAAGTTGAGAACCCCCAACCCCAGATGAGTTATGGGTGAGCCAAATGCAGTGGGAGTCTGACAGGGAAAATTCAAGTGCTGAGTGAAAGGCTGGGGCAGTTTATGAGTAGAAAGAAATGGAGTTAGGCTGGATTTCAGCCTGCAAATGTGGAGTGCTAAAAACAAATTTCTGAGGCAGGTTGGGGCCTGATTCTGCTGGGTCTTTTAAGGGGGTTGAAGTTTTATCCCCGTGAGAAATCACTGAAAGATGGAGGCAGGGTGCAATATAATCCTTTTCATGTTTATTAAGCACCCTCTCAAATCTCTAAATACATGCTCGAGAGTAGTCATTAGCCCTGTGGTTGATAATGGGAATTCATAGAATGTGTTAGCATGCCCTATATGGTCACCAATGGCCTCTGCTGAGCGCTTGGAAGGAGTTGATCCAAGCTGAGTGTCCTGGTTCATTTTTTTTTTGTCACCTTAACACAAGTTAGGAGGAGGAAGGACTCTTAATTGGAAAAATGCCTCCATAAGACTGGCCTGCAGGTAAACTTGTGGGGGTATTTTCTTGATTAATGATTGGTGTGGGAGCTTCCAGACCACTGTGGGGTCACTTCTGGACTGGTGGTCCTGGGCTCTATAAGAAAGCAGGCTGAGAAAGCCAGAAGGAACAAGCCAATAAGCAATGTTCCTCCATAGCCTCTGCATCAGTTCCTGCCTTGACTTCTTGTCTTGACTTCCCACAGTGAAGAGTGTGACCTGAGCGTTGTAAGATGAAATAAACCCTTTCCTTCCTGAGTTGCTTTTGGTCCTGGTGTTTTACCATAGCAATAGAAAAGGGTCTCATGCAGGTTTCTGGAATGATTTGATTAGCTGGTCTTGGGACTACAAACCCTTGGAGAAGGGTGAAGTGTTTCACATCTTGATGTTCTACCTTAGCTCTGAAGTAACAGTGAGTACAGATCAAAACCTCAAGCTGAGAGCCCACATAACATCTTCCTTTTTAAAGATATTTGTCTTGGTGATAGAAAGCTAGCTAATACAGATCTCCTCTTGGGAAACAGATTAGTGCCTGATGAAATAACTGGAGGGAACCAGTTTTGTGGAGACACCATAAGAACATTCTCACTAGACACTGAATGCCAATACCTTGACCTTGGTTGGACTTCCCAGCCTCCAGAACTATGAGCAATACATTTCTACTGTTTAGGCAATCCAGCTTGTGGTAGTCTGTCTGTTATAGCTACACAGACAGACTAGGATACATGTATGTGTTCACAGCAGCCCAGCTTGCATGCAGCCGAATGCCCATATCTGTGTGCCTAGGCAGTACAGATGGACATGTGAGTGGCCACACATGGTGGCCAGCCTTCTTTCTGAAGCAGCATGGCCTGAGTTCTTCAGTTTGGTTTATTGAAATTTCTCACCAAGGAAGGAAAGAAGTGCTAGGGGATCTCAAGGGAGACGGAGGTGGGACAATGGAGAAAGCGTAGGTAGAAGAATTTCAGGGCCTGGGTTGCGGAGAGGATGAGTGCAGAGGTGAGTATTGGAAGCCTTATGGCCAGAGCTTTGAACAGGTGAGGTCTGGGTTGTGAGCTATGGTGGAGGTGGTGATGGTGGAGATACCTTTACTGAACTCTCAGAAGTCTTTGTTCTAAGAGCATGGGCCCACCCAGGGTCTCCCCCAATCTCCAAGGTGCTCAAGGAGCCCTGGAAGGGAACTGCTTGGGATCGGTCTCTGGAGGGCAGGGAAGGAAACTCTGTTGTTCTCAGCTGGGGTCCAATCCAGCAGCCTTCAGAGGGATTGTCTGAAGTGACTTTTCTGCTTCCGGCTCCTGCTTTGTTTTCTTGACTTGCTGGAGCCTAGGGACACAGAGTTTAGGAAAAGCCTGGAGTTCTGGCTTGTTTGCTTAAAGAGGAGCCCTGGGAGCTAGAGGCAGCAAACTCACCAGTCTTCTAAGTCCTCAATAGTCTCTGGCAAGGGCCGGTTGAGGGTCTCAAGCAGGAAGAAGGCAGCGCTGCCTCCCAGTATGGCCGTGGTCCCAAAGATGGCATTAGGGATGTAGGGCTGCACCTCACCCGTGATTTTCACCAGTGGAGCTATCATACTTCCCACTCGAGCCCACGAGTTACTAACACCCATACCTGTTTGCCTGGGAGGGTTCAGAGAAGGGACTGGGAATCTGTGCAGAGGGCTTTCAAAGGACAGTCCTGGGACCCCTGGGTAGAGGGCAGGAGGAGGATGCTACAGTTCCATTTATTAGCCCCTGACCCAGGTGCATCACCTACCTGACAACTGTGGGGTAGAGTTCACTTGTGTAGAGGAAGAGGCAGCTGAAGGAGCCAGACAGGCATCCTTTCCCAAATACAGCCAGTCCTGTTCTCACGAGCGGCATTTCTGCATGGGAAAGGGTTGGAGGATGGGCCCTGGTGTTCACAAACACCTGAATGTTCTCCCTCCTTAGTAGACTTTGTATCCCTTTGTGCTTAATTGCCTAGAAGCTCATAGGAAAAGGGCTTTGTCGTGTAGGCCAATTGGATTGTTTTCTAGAAAAGTAACCTGAGCCCCACAAAAAGTAGGGATCTGTTTAAAGCCAACTCAGTAAATTGAAGGAGGGCTAACAAAGCTGGAATTCACTTTCCAGCCTGTGGTAGCTTCTTCTAGAGAGTTCTAGGGTATCCTCAACCCCTCACCTGAAGACACAAAGATGAGTCCCAAGATAGCCCCTCCTGCCAGGAGCAGGAGGAAGCCTTGGGTGATCCGCCGGCCCAGATAACTTATGGAGAGGATTGTGATGAACTTGGCTGGGATGTCAACCCCACCAAAGATGATCTGGAGTATGTAGATGTTGACTCCAAATTCTTCTACCCCCATAGCCAAACTGTAGTAGGCAAAACCAGTAGAAAACCTGACAGACAGATAGGCATTGGTCAACACTTGCAGCCAAGCTGAAATCTCTTCCCATAGCTGCCCTTGGGTTAACAGGATGATAAATAGTTTTGTTTATTGTGTCAGCTATAGCTGATTGATATAGGCTGCTTGAGTACTGTTGAGTTTTGTGAGACTATGTCTGAGCTGGGATTGATTGGTCACGTCTTACATGGTCATGATCTAGGCCGTTCATGGCAAAGGTGCCCAAGATTGACTCCATAGAGTAACAGGACTGGAGGGACTCCCAGAGACTACAGGAAGCAGTAAATGATGTTTTTGTTCGGTAGAAGTGGAACATCCAGAGAGGCAGAGGTGAAACTCAAGCTGTGAACATAATTCCTCCTCCTCTCTCAGGATTATGGCAAAATGTGGGACAAACCTGATCCTGGGGAAGACTAGGATTGAAAAATGGTCTCACAACCAGGTCACAAAAAGGCTCTGGGGAAGATGTAGGATCAGTCAGAAGAGGAAACTTGGCAGATAGAGAATTGCTTCCCACAAGTCTGCAGCAGGGCCAGCTCCGCTCTGTGTGGCACCAGAGGACGGAGCTAAGCTTCGGGCACAGAGAGGCGGGGGGGGGGGGGGGATTCTGTCACCAGGATTGCGCACTGAAGGGTCTAGAGCACCTGCCCTCTTTGGGGTAGTGTGACCTCAGAGGGAAGCAGACACTCTCAGCTGAATATGGGACTTCTGGGAAGGAAGCTTGGCTTGGTACCTAGGAGGTATTCCCTGATTTCTCTTGCAGGTACACTAGGCTTTGTCCTGATGGGCACCTCCTTGTCCATCAACCCTGTGCAGGGCATGGGTAGGGTGAGGTGGCAGGTTACCAGGCCAGGGAGAGACAGAAGGTCAGACGGCGCAGGATGGATACCCGGAACAGGTCAGATAAGCCATATTTGATCTTGACTGAGTCGATGTCTTTCTGCAGGCTGAACTTCAGTTCCTTGGGACATAGGAGAAGAAGAGGTGCTGTTATTGGGCATAGCCGGCAGAAGGGAAGGAGGTTCAAGTCTAGTTGTTCCATAGGATGCATTGGGGGAGCAGAAGGAATACAAGCCAAGGAAACAGGCCAGAGAGGGCAGACACATAGTCCTGCTCCAACTCTAATCCCTCCCCACCTACCTCCACGGTGATATTTTTCCCCTCCTCCTTCTTGCCATTGAAGGTAGCCACCCGTTGGAGTGTCTTCAGGGCCTTTGAGAACTTTCCAGATAGAACCAGCCAGCGAATGGACTCTGGTACCCACCTGGGGGCCAGAGTCAAAACATAGTGGCTCCTGTTCTAGAGTCCCTTTTGAGACATCTGCATCCAGGGCCTAATGCATTTTCTATGGAGCCTCACATTGGTCCATCTTTGTCCTTGGGCTGCCTCTAGTTAGCACAAATTTCAACATTCTGCTCCCCCTCTCCTAAACCAGTCTCCAATGCTTCCAAACCTAGGTTGCTGGTTGTCGTTACATTTCTTCCTTTGCTAAGAGCCCCAGGGACTAGACTAAGGTAGGTGGAGCAGGAGGGGATGACATGCCTGAGGATGGACAGCTGGGGGACATTTACTTCTACTTCCCTGGCCTTCTTTGGCCTGGATTCCTCCAGGGCCTTTGCAGGGTGGATTTGGTACCTGGCTTCAGACCCCTGATCCCAGCTTTTTGAGTCTGTTGCTCATGGACTTATAGCTTCTGTTTCTGCCTTGACAGTCCTGTGAGTCTGGTCTCACTGAGACTGTGAAGGAGTTTTTCTCATGCTCATGGCTGAGCCCAGGGATCCAGCTTTGTCTCCCTGAGAATAATGACAGTGGTGGCTCCCAGTCAAGAAGCCTTCCTGTAGGTCAGCCCCACAAAACTTAGGGTAATCAATGATGCCATCCTCATCCTCTAGAAAAAATCTTGAGGCTTTTTAGGATGGGTGAGATCTGCCCCAAGTCACAGGAAAAAGGGCACTGAGCTCTCAGCTGTA